AGCGCGTGTGAGAAGGGAGCATGCTGGCAAGAAGCCTTGAGTTTCTTTGAAGCCATGCTGACGGCCAATCTTCAAGCCGATGTCATTAGCTACAGTGCGGCCATGAGTGCCTGTGAGAAGGGCGATCAATGGGAGCACGCCTTAACCTTGTTTGATGCCGTCTTTCGGGCAAAACTTCTGGCCGGCGCCATAAGTTACAATGCTGCCATCAGAGCCTGTGAGAAGGGAAACCATTGGCAGCAAGCATTGAGCTTGTTTGAAGCCAGGCCAGCGGGTGCATAGACTGCAACCTCCATAGAGTTTACAGGAGGATCTACCCGAGAAAGTGCCCAAACAGAGGTGTTCCTCTCGTTTTGGTCACTTCAACCAGGCATAGGCTCATGCTGGACACGGAACATACCGGCCAGGTGCGTTCGCCACCTTGGCCGTCTCGCTGACGCCAGCCGTTCCGACTCCATGGAACCGGCGGAAGGTACTCACTTCGACCTTGGAGAATTCAGTGCTTGGGGGGTGAGGCCTGTATGAACCTCATCGCTGAAGCACGTTGGCTGGTCCTGTAGATGTGGAAGAAATCCACCGAAAACAAGGGGACGCTGTTTGGAAGTGAACGCGAGTTTGCACCTCTTCCGGGGTGCATGCACGGGAAAAACCCGTGGAGCGAGTTATGACGCGGAAGTCAGTCGCGTGGGAGGCGCCGGAGTGTTCAAGTTCTTGGAGTCCTCCAAAGCACGAGTTATCATGTATTAAAGGTATGAATTATTCTGCACCCAGTGTATCCCAAGTATTGTGCAGCACGAGCTGTCATATATGGTTCCTGTTCATTAATCTATTTTTGGAACATTTCGATCTACTCAAGCCAAGGGGTGGATCTGGGCCCAGGATGAACAGCAAGACGCCCGAGCAGAAGCCAAACCTGGGTCCTGGATCCGGGGAATAACCGTCTCTGAACTAGGATCCCCCGAGGGTGTCCATTCATAGCCCCACCAAAGAATCGAAAAGATGTTGAACTTAAGGGCTATTCATTCATTCATTCATTCATTCAGTCTTTCATCCAACTCCCCTCCTGCCTGTCCTGGCATTCTTTGGTCAATCTAGGGGTGTGTCCCATTACCAGTCTGCAGCAGTCGGCATTATCAGATTACCATGTAATTCCTATATAAGGCCATATCAGTATTTTTGGGAAACCCCTTGACTAAGCATCATCATCCACCAGGCCCTGGTAAAGGGTTAAGCCCAAGGTCCTTAGGTCAATCCATCTTCCAGGTGTTCAAGGTGTTCGGCGCCAGGCACTCCCTGAAATCATCGAATGATATCGAATGGAATTGGCGAAAAAACACACAAAAACACCACCTGTCAGGTATATATAGACGGAAAGAAACGGAACATGGAGTGCCTTTGAAAAAGGAGCCGGGCCATGCGGCCATGCCATTCCGGGAGACCGGAGGTCCCAACGGCCCCAGGTGGCTGGACTGCTGCTGCTGGTGGGCTTCGTGGCGCCTGCCTTCGAAGAGCGGCTCGGGCCGCGGCGGCGAAAACTCGTCCAGTGAAACAGTGTGAATGGCAGGAGGATTATACAATTGCATTGAATGTATTGCATTGAGTTTTTCATGAGTCTAGAACATGTGAAACATTTTTGGTATCTAGCTGCTAATGGCAATAACGAAACACCGTATGATGACATGGACCACAGTTTGATCAAGGCTGGCATGCTTGAGACACATCAAGACTTTCTGAGCACTTGAGACGCATCTCAGCTGTTCACCCATTCTTGCGGCGGAACCGTCTCAGGTTGATTTTTCGAGGATTCTTGCTCATGGCATTGGGCGACACTGGCTCTCCCATTTTCATCAGCAGCTGCCTGTGTCTCGGTATTTCCTTGAAACCAAGAGAATGCCGTTGGGCGAAACCTGGTAACATATGACTGCTGCAAAATACGCATTATTATAGATGTTAATAGTGGTGTTCAATGTCCCTTCTTTGTGCATTTTTGGGCTATACCATGCTATACCCCAGGATGAGCAAGCATAGTTGGCTATCTCCATATATCATCCACAGCCACCATCAATTCTACTCCAGTGGTGCCCACCTGTCGCCACTGCAAGGTTTGGGCTTTTCCACTGCCACCCCAATGGCCCCACGGGCTTTCGGCCATTCCTTCCGAGCACCCTGCTGGGTGCCTGGTTCGCTTTCGTGCTCTTGAAGACCCGGTCATTGCCACTTGGCGAGGCACTGGATATGGAGATGAACCAGTAATTTGGCCTCGCTTGTAGTCGCATTAATAAGCAATGGTCCAACAACAGACTTCTTGGGTCTCAGACCTTGCTCCGGTTGTTTCCGGCCCGAGACAAGCAACCTTGTGGCATGACACATATTTCTTGGTCGACTGGGTTAGGTCGAATGTCTTGGTCACCCACGAAGGAGCTTGAACTAGATCCAATGATCATATGATCAATTTCTATCCACTAGTTTGACTTTATATCAAACAGTCCCCCCCCAAAAAGAGGTTACTCATGTTGAGGGTATGGTGCAATCCTCTTGGGAGGTGCCCCAGAACCCCTTTCTGGAAAAGGTTTCGCCTGTTGGGGGCGTTTGGCGCGTCCTTTTCTTCGGAAGGAAAATGGCGATTCTGCTCCACCAGTCTTGGAATGCCGGGCACATCCTCCTGGTGGTGCTCTTGACCCGACTTGGCGCCCAAGCCTGTGGCTGGTCTGAAGACCGCCATGCCCACCGTAGGGCAGGCGGTGGTGATGAAAACCATGCTGGGAAGATGGGGACATGATGTGCCCCCAAAGGTGGAACCCATAGCAGGCACCAGATGCCAACCAGATGCTGCGAGGTGGTTGGTGGTGAAGGGTTTGGTTCCTCTCGTCGATGGAACGTCCTTTCTCACCACGAGTCTTTGGAGTGGTTTGGGATGGGCCCCAGCGGATGGGAGTCCCGAATGCCAGCTCCTGCCATCAAGTTTGCATACAGAATTCGACTGTTCCCATCGAGGTGTGCCAATCGGCACAGGACCCGTCGTTCTGGTTTGTTCCCCTGCCCTAAAAGAACCATGAAAATGAAATTGGCACCGGCAGTGGCCACATGGATTGGGCATGATTGCTGTAGTTGCCTGGCAAATGTGGCAGATGGGGCCTGGCAGATTGATACCAGGTAGGTTGCGCGCCACACGGCGCCCAGCACCAAAACCGTTTTGCAGCAGTGCTTGTCCCACACCTTGTCCCTCCTTAAAGCGGCAGATGGTAGGTTTGGAAGCCTGAGCCTCCAGCCATCTCCAGCACTGAGGGGTGATGGAGATTGCCGTCTCCTGCTATGCATGATGCGGATTGGGAGGCCCGGCCAAGGTCTCCGTGTTGCGGCGATCCGCGGCTCCAGGTCCATGCGGAAGCGGAGTTCCAAGGGGTCGAGCATCACACGCTGGATCGGATGAGTTGACCTCGGTATTAGTCCAACTGGGTCCAACTCACTATTCCCAGCGGTTCAGCGTTCTGGGTTTAGGGAGGCCACAACCGGTGTTTGGTGAGGCGTGAACTCTCTCACAACACCAGGTCACATCCCTACGACTGACTGTATGGCCTCAATTTTCCACTCATTCACCCGCCGGGTCAACGGAGAAAATGCCAAAGTACCATGCCGAACTGGCCACTTCGCCCACAGAGAAATAGGACCAAGCAGAGGCAAAACAGGTCCCACCCGTCATCAGAGGTGCTTGCAGACTTGTCCTTGATCAAACTCGAACTTTTTGGATCGCAAGTTCGTGGAAGTAGTCACGAAGTCGTCCAATGAAACAGACTGAGATGTTGCTGTTTGCACAGTGCCCAGGAAGCTCAGTTGTGGTGACACTCTTTGTGCAGCTAGGCCGACATGGACTGCTCTTCATCACAGATGGTGTCGTCTGATTGGCCGTGATGAACCAACTGGTCCATACCTCGATGCACAATCCCTAACTGTATGCCTTTGGCATGTGTCGGTCATTCTAATTCTATAGTGTGGGATTTATATGGAATTATATACACCGTGTTGTTGTGTGAGAGTATTGACAAGACTTCGAGCCTTGTAAGTTGCTGAAAGCATCTGCACAGTTGCGCCGAATTGGGGGGGGGGCAGCACACGAAGCGGTGCAACAAGGACGTTCATGTTTGGCACGACAGGTTGCCAGCTTGAAAACGAGTATGTTCACCTCTATCCGCTTCGAGCCCCATGTCTTGGACGTTGGCCCAACCCAAAACCGCCGGATACGGGTCCAGGCGGGCCCGTGCGGATACGGGCCGGATTGCCAATGCCTCATTCAGGACTCGAGGGGAGTCCAGTTTTCCACTCCAACCAGCCTGACGGATTCTCTCCAGGCAGATCAAGAGGAGTGGTGGATAGGCCCTGGGCGAAGAAATCGATGAGAAATCCCTGATAGGCGAAGACAGGATCATAGAAAAGGGGAAGGATCCAAGCAATCGACAAGTCACGACAGTCAGGTGTTTTGAATCATTTTGACTCTATTGACTCTGCGACCCAGGATGAAAAAGCCTGGCGTTCTTAGACATCCATCTCAGACAGCTTGCCCACCAACTCTTCTTAACATTCTTTAGCCATGAGTGGCCTTCCTGGCCTAAACTCGTCGACCGCCCGGGAAGTGGAGACTCAGTAACGCATTGGGTGGGACCTTCAGTAGTTTGGTGGCAGGACCTTTCCCAGATCCACTTCCATGTTTGTTCAACGAAGGGCCGCCAAAGCCAGCGAGCTCAGCCACGACGCCGAAGAAGTAAAGGTGCGGAGCGGAACGGAACCGACTCGTGTTTTGGTTGACATCATGTGGTGACTAGTGGGCAGTACACCGCTGCCATCAGCCACCAGCCACCATGTCGATCGCTCAGCGGGTGTGTCTAGCTTGAAGCTTCGTGTCCAGCACGGGCCTTGACGCAACGCACCGGGATCTTTTGGCCTCCAGAGGGACCTGCGAAGCTGATTCCGCACCGAAACGCGTCTCCGGTGCGCGATTCGTGGCCATGCCGCCCAATCCGCTGGTGTACTTTGAGACTCCTGGGCTTCGAAGATCGTACTTTTTTCGAACCCGAGGCTTCCCCCCAATCCCCAATGGGGGGGGCGTTGTTACTATATAATCCAGAGGATCTACATGTACCACCCTCCAACAAGTGGTGTTTGGTGCGGTTGGGTCTCGAGCCATGTGCTTGATTCCTGGGGGCCTGGACCGGTGCACCGGTCCAGTGGCCGGCCTGGAGAATCCCTCCGCCTACATCGGCATAGGTATCAAAAAACAAATAAAACGAGCATCAAACAAAATTCCTTGATAGGCCTCTTCTGCTGCTCTCCTGGCCCTGTGGTCTGCGGGTCCTCTGGTAATAAGGTTTGTTGGTCCTTTGGTCCCGTGGTCCTCTGGTCCACTGGTCCTTTGGTCCCCTGGTCCCTTGGTCCTTTGGTCCACTGGTCCCCTAGTCCTCCGGTCTCCTGGTCCTTTGGTCCTGTGGTCCGCTGGTCCCCTAGTATCCTTCTGTCTCCTGGTCCGCTGGTCTCTTGCTCTCCTACTCCGCTCGTCTTTCGGTCTCCTGGTCCCCTGCTTGCGCAAATAGAGGCTTGATTGCTTTCTACTAGAGGCAGCTCCCTGGGAGGAAAGTAGGTACCCAATGATGGTAGCCGTCCAGTCCTTGAGTAGCCCTACTCGAGAAATGGTTCACCAGTAGAAATAGCTCCCTACTAGGAAGGAGCTCCTAGGGAGGTACACTCTCCTAGTCCCCTACTCCTTCCATCCGCTTCCCTTGGTCTCCTAATCCTGCTACTGCTACTGCTACTACCCCAACCATCCTCAGTGGGCTAGATTTTTTTTGCTTCCCTTTTTATTGATATTGATCCCCGTTGAATATTTTTTGTATTCTATTTTTATTTGTTCTTGATCCCTTACCCGGCCTACATCATCTACGAAGATGTACATGTGTTGTTCAGTCTGACCTCCTAGAAGTGTCAGGCGTAGCTCGATGCTTGATGATTTTAATCAATCTTAAGTAATCAATTCTCTTAATGTTGCTTCAGTCAGCTGAACTTATGGCAGGAATGTTGTGAGCTTCCAACAGCTTGATGGTTGAGATTTCATGTTCCGTCTCGCTCGGGATTTTCGACATGCCCATGTTTCACGGACATACCGCAGACCTGGCCCTTCGACGTGACTGCCGGCAGTGCCCAAACCGTACTAGAAAAACATCAAAAAACACAAAATCCCCGTCCCTAACGAAAGGCTCCTTGAACCGGTCCACGTCCAATCTCTCAGGATCGCCTTCGATGGACAACCCGTGGGCAAGATCGTCTTTGAGCTCTTCGCCCATGTGGTGCCGAAGACCGCGGAGAACTTCCGAGCCCTGTGTACCGGAGAGCACCGGGCTCAGTTCGCGAAGAGCTGGGACGGAGTAGGAGGAGATAGGAGGGACGGGGTGGTGGTGTCAGGAGAGGTGTGCCGACGTCGGTGCCGCCCCCAGGAGTGTGCCCATGTTTCATCATGTTTCCATGGTGGGCCCTCTATAGAGTCGTCCAGAACTCGATTTCGCATCAACCCTCGGTCGGTGAGGCATGGGAAGGGAAGATCTGGAAAGAGGCTGAACTTCTTGGGCTGTGCCACTTGGATAAGCAAGGCCCAGGTGACTTGAAGCGTTACACAATTTGGTGTGTACTGTAGTTTTCTAATGCATGGAGAAGACCGTGTACAGGTGGAAGGTGGGTTCAGGTAGCTTACTGGCTGTCTTTTGGATCAAAAAGTTTTCTGATGTGCGTGTTGCATTAACATTCAGTTTGCATGTAAGTTTCAATGCACCTGGAGTTCCACAATGTCCGCGTGGCTTTTACACCCCACCAGCGGCCGTGGATGCGTCCCCTGGCGCCCTGAAATTCCTCCATGAGGGCACCCAAACATGGAACTTTTGGTCAGAAAAACGCCCTGTTTCATGGCCCAGAACCCAGTCTAGAACACCTGGGTATGGTCTCTCACAGCAGCCATCGGCTACTTGAAGCCGACCATGCTGGTTCAAGGCAAGCCACCTTTGTTGGTAAGGTAAGATGTGTCGTGCACAGCTAGAGGCTCGAAGTCCCACCCGAAGTCGCAAGCTCTCGGGGACCATGGCATCCACTTATACTGCGGTGCAGACACTGGTTTGAGGGCGCCAGGTTGTTCCAAGCAGGGCTCCAACTTCATCCGAATGCACATGTCATCTACCGAATGCCGGCCAGTCCCAAGTGAAAGACATCCAGGCCAATTCTGGCTCCACATTTCCAGCACAAACTAGAAACCGAGACATAAGAACCCGCAAGCTGCCTTCAGAAATGAAGAGCTCTATCAGCAGGCCTGAACGCTGAATACAGGACAGGATCTGAAATCTAAAGGTGTTGCGTTCTACGTTGCCTTCTCACAGCGTCCGAAAGACTGGCTGGGGATGTCAGGGCCTAGATTCCCTTCACGGCCATGGCCCGAACCCTGTGACCAGATCTATGAAAACATGAGCTGATTGGGCCAGTTTTCTATGTTTTTTTTGGGTTGGCCCTTGGCTGGTTGGCTCAGCAAGGTCCAAGCAACCGACTATAGTACCGATATGAAACTCTCCTGAGAGGATCATCCCAAGTTGGGCGAACCCCCCTGACTTGCATGACCCCCAGGTCTTCCATCGAATCATCCCGGGCTTCATGTGCTACTTGGCACTTGCGCTTGCTCGTTTTCTTTTTTCTCCTACCGATACGATGATGAAAGGAAGAACTTCACTGGCCACCTGAAACATGGGAAAAATCCAGGGTGTAACATCAGAGTAAGTCGTTGGGGGAGCCCCCCACAAAGTAAGGCGCTCCGCCCAGTCCAAAGTACCGCAAATCAATCTAATCAAACACAAGTTGAAACAACCTACTCACTCGGTTGGTAAGAAGGAGTCCTAAAATCAAGGCGTCACCACTGACTGGAATCCTTGTTGTTGGTGGCGCAAAAAACGACAGAAGTCCATCCAAACAGAGGCCATTCAAAGGCACAGCCGGCAGTTTGGCTATGTTCTTCTGTGCGGTCCATGTGGGCGCCCATGCCACACATTCTCTCCAGATCTGTTTGTGGTGCCCAAGTTCATTCCCCAAGTTCGCAGCATGTGACTGGTCGTCACCTCTATTTGAGATGGGCACCATCCATCTACCTGCCACCCATACCCATTTGGGGCGCTTCTTTGGGTTGACTCCGTCAGCCTCTTCACCTCAGGTCAGGGGGGCGACTTCACTCGCGGCGACGGCACGGGCGGAGCGCCTCGATGGCCACGGAACGGGCAACGGGCGCGCCAACTGAGTCGAGGGGTCGGAGCGGTGAAACGGGGTGTGTGTCGGAACTGGAGGCGACTGGTAGTGTAGACTCTTGATGAAGAAGCGGTTGTTCAATTCAAACGGGTGGGTTAGGGTTTAATGAAGATCGAGTCTACATTGATTATATAGGTGATAGAGGTGCCTTGAAGGACCTTAGAAAGAGAGCATTGAATGAGAGGTTCTACATCGCAAGCTGGGGCGTTTCTGTTCACGTTACTTGTGCGCCCTCCTTCTGTCCTTCTCTCTTGAAAACAAACATCGACGGCGTGAGGAATCGATTTATGGCGCCAAGTTCAAGGATGAGAACTTCCAAATGAGGCATACAGAGAAGGGCCCCTCGCTGGGCAAACGCCGAACACCCCACTGCAGGGCACCGCCGGCACGGCTGATCCACCGCGGTGGGAACGTCATGACATGCGGAACTCACGACATGTGTTGTTTCATCCGTGTGTGCATTTCGACAAGACATGAATGGAACATGGCCATGTCAAAATCATTGGACACAAGCACTCACTGGTCTACAAAAAGCAGCAAAAAGCAAAATTGTCAAAAAGATTGGGCTTGTCTTCAGAAAGTTTTTTCTGTTGACTGAATTATTACATAGAGTTAGATATGTTTGATTGTTCGTGAACCCTTGGTTCCTCATCACTCGGTGGACAAGATGATGCATGAAGGCCCGAAGGCGGTCAAACGGTGAGACATATATAGGGACGGTGATGACAATCTTAAATGTTATTTTTTAGTAAAGCATGTGTATGCATGTATAAAATCCTTCGGGTTCCGCTTTTGAAGGTGATCTACTTTTACACTTTCACTGATGGGACAGTATTTTCCACTGATGGGGTTTGGTTTCACTTCTTGCGGAGTGTCCAAACTTGAATTCAGCCAGTGATTAGCACCGCGAATGGTGAGCAATGAAGGTGGGCATGCTCACTTGAAATGGGGGAAACCTTTTGTTCATCCTTTGCCAGGCATGCAATATATACTGGATGCTTGTTGATGATTGTTGATGGGGGTGTTGCCAGCAGCCGTAGATCTGATCAGATGCCAACACTGCTCCAAGCGGTCCAAGTTTAAGACAACCATTTCCATTGCCCTCTCTAGCCCCTTCCTAGCTAGTCTTCCATGAGGCATGAGTCCCTCGTGGGCGCCTTCCACCAAGGCAGTCGCCCTCTTTGGGTTGCCATATGTCACTCTAGATCGCATAGGCCATCCACAAATGGACTTGATTCAGCACCGAACTCCGAACCCGGAAGTGTCCTCGGTTCCTCGGGCACCCTCCTCGACGGCGCGGTGGGACACCCAGGTTTGTTGTCCATGGCCAACTCGGGGCCGAACACCAATGGCTCCCAGTTCTTCATCACCGTCAAGGCCACACCGCACCTGGATGGGAAGCACGTGGTCTTCGGGAAGGTCATCAGTGGCTACGCCTCGTGGCCGGGAGGGTGGGAGGGGGCAGCCGCTTGGGGCCCCCAAGGCTAGGACGCGCAGGGACTCGGACATGCGGCCCGCGGAGAGTCGGAAGCTGCTACAGAGTTCGAAGTTCAGGGCTTTGGTGATCGTCCACAAAAGAAACGTTGACTCCTCTAAGTGCCCAGCGGACAACCACAAGCCGCTCCAAGATTTGTAGTGAAGGCCAGTGGAGAGACCGGTTCGAAGCCCAGGACGTGGTCCAGAAGATGGAGCGGTGTGGCTCCAGCTGCCTGGACAAAGGGGTCAAACAGGGAGACACATCGCAAAGAGCTGTTGGCACTTGTCCCCATGACGGACCAAGGGCGTGGTGATCCCATACCATCCAAGCCATGGTTGGTTTCCACGCCCTTGACGTCTCAGTGAGGTGATCCAAGTCATAGGACGAACTGACTAACTGAGGCTAGAAGGCCCAACTTTCGCATGTGTGTACGGCAGGGGGCTGAAGAACCTAATCCTCTCCTAGAGTCCTAGAGCCATCCTGGCAAAGATTTGACAGCGTTTCCTGCAGCCCTGGGTGGGTGCTGATGTCCCAGCCAATCCTTTTGACCACTTGGCGCAGTTTTTTCAAGTATTCCATCAGCCGCTCACAAGCTCCATGTATTGAAAGAGATGGCCAGATACCCGCTGTACCATGTCCTGAAGAGAACGGTGAAGCTGGTCATTGGTCTTTTCCGGCCGAGGCAGTGGGAAGACCAGTAAGAAGGTCACCATCCATTCCTGTGGCGAAGAGACCACCGGGGATGATGCGCCCCCAGCCAAGAAGCCCAAGACGGGCGGAGCCGAGGAACCTCCGGCCGAAAGGGAAGCCGGTTCTTGGGTCTGGCAGTGCCATTTGATCCTGCTTGACCGCAAGGGTTTACCATGGATTACCTCAGAGGTTTCCAATGCCTCTTCGACCCCGAAAGCATCCCAACGCACAGAAAGACGCCCTCGGATGCCCTGGCTGTGCCAGAACCACCAAGATGCACGAGGAATCAGGATGAGTCCATAATGACGTGATTTTCGTCCCCTTCATCTTGGGGGCAAGACTCAATGACTCAGCTCGGGGCATCACACCCTTTGGACCGGCAAGAGGGGCTGAAGCGGCTTCAGGATGAAGAAAGTGCCAGGTGAACACGGTGCACAGTGCTGAGACTTGCTCATCCGGCCACCTCACCGGACCGATGTCGACGGTGGTCCACGCAGTTCCAGCATCATCAAGCATGATCCCCCTTCCAAGAAAAAACAATAAACAACACCCACCAAGGGCCAGGTGAGGTGGTTTCAACATGTTTCAACCACCTCATGACAATCCCATCTTCCACGATGCCACCGCTCATCGATCCGCCCCCATGTCCTGCGGATTAGCCGCCGGCCGCTCTTCTTGCTGCAGGAGGTGCAGGTGCTCCACATCATCCGAAAGCACAGCGGGTCCCGGAGACCCTCGAGCCTTGGAGGGACTAAGTCGAGGACTTGTGAGTCTGGATTCGGAGACTTGTGGGGCATTGAAGAAAAGAGGAGTAACGGAGTGAGTCACACATAAGTCACATAATCATATGCTTTACATGGGCACCAAAAAGGTTTTGGACACCAGGTTTTCATGAAGTACATTTGGGGGGGGATGTGACGGGATGTGTTTTCTGCATGTTTGCAGCCATTTGGGGAGAGTAACCGCCGCTTGATGAAGATGCCGCAAGTTCCTCGGGATTCCTGACCCCTTCACAAGGATGTGCATGAGATCTTGGGAATGGTGATGCTTGTTTTTGATTCACGTCGCCATTCGCAGCCGAACGTGTTCTAGACGCGTTTTATACATAAATCATAAATCCGTGTGGCATACGTTATCATATATATATCTTTGTGTGCCCCAAAGGGGCCATTGGGGGGCCCAACGTCTCCGAAACTTTTCAATGGCTAGCTGAGCTAGCTGCTTATACAATCGCAACACCGTCCATGCGTTTCACAACCTTTCCTCATCTGTTCCACAAGATGACCCACGCATTCCACTAAGATTCATCATCCGTTCCACAACATTTTCCGCACGTTGCACAACATGCATCAGACGTTCCACGGCTTTCATCATTTGTTTCACGGCTTTCATCCAAAGCGAAACCCGCAACACTCCGCATCCGTTTGGGGTGGGGGATGCAGTGACGGTTGTTTCTTTTTTCGAATGACAATGCAAGACTTTCACAACATAGTGAAATCGTCAGCGGCAGCAGCAGCAGCATCAGTCGTGTTGAACAAGGCGAACAAATCAGTACCCAGAGTTTGGAAGGCGTTACCAATCTTTTGAGTGCTAATCATTGGCCCGTGGAAAAGCTTGCAAATGTGTCAAGTCGCCCCAACCCCAGGCCACTATACTATATACAATAGCGACATGACCCTTGTTTTTAGGTTCATCACTTAGACACGCCATCGTGCTTTTGGAGGGCTTGGTTTGGGTAGGCTGACAGGCACGGCCTTCTTCAAATTGAGCTGGAGAATCCAACGCTGACTTTGACCGAAGATCCGTCGCTTCAGCTCAGCCGGGTTCGGGTCGGTGATGGTCGTTGGTCTGTCTTCCCAAGGTCTTGGCGCCAAGAGAAGATCACTTGCTCCAAGTTAGAGGCGGCCTCCTTCCTTCAAGACTTGAAGTCCGACTTAGAAAAGCACTTCGGCTGCAGGGTGAGCGGATGTGCACGGCACGCTGATGTCGAGACGCGTGGGCAAGTGCGAACGGAGTTTGCACGAGGAGCTTGTTGGGGTGCTGCTGACAGGCAAAGCCATCCCAGCAGTCCTGCAATGCAGAATGCCATGACCTTCTGCCGATGTTCTTCCTTGACTTTAGAAACAGGTAGAAACATGTACCAGGACACCCTAGCCCCTAAATGCTGTGATTCGGGGTGTCCATTCACCACCCAACTCCTGTGGGTGGTAGAAACGGTCAAATGGCATTGGTTGTGTTGGGTTCATCGTCACATACCCACCGTTCGCACCATGCAGGTGTCAGTCCTTGCTTCACATCGGCCTCACATCGTTCAGGTGTTCAACCTCCCGTTGCTGTTTGGAACATCAAACCCATCTCAACCCCATGACACACCACTCTCAGCCTACTAATAGTCTATTCCTCCCTCTCCGCACGCGCCACCGCCACGTCACGTCGCGGCCCAGAGGTTCGACCCCACGTCGATGAGGGAGAAGTTCGAGGCCCTGGCGCGAGAGCACTCGGATTGCGGGTCGGCCAAGAAGGGCGGCGACCTGGGCCTCTTTGGGCGCGGAAGGCGCGGAGAAGGGGAGCTGGGGGGCAGGTGAGCACGGCACAGCACGGTAGAGCACGGCACAGGGCACTCTCCAAAAGCCTTCTTCACTCTCCGAAGCCGATTTGGTTGCTTCCTTTTCAAGACACTCGGCGAACGGCAGAGCCAGACCGCGTTTGGTGTTGCTGGAGGGAGGGAAAGACCTATATACCATGCAGACCGCTGGCGGCAGAAGGTGTTTCCAATCATAGGGGGGGTGTTTCACTCGTTTTCACTCGCGAGGTTGAGAGACCTGAACTAGGACCCTGTAATCCCATCCTCCTATTAATAAACACGGGGCCCCCCCTATTAAAAAAACCTCGGTCGCATTTTTTCTAATAGGGTCCCTGAAATCGGGGGGTCCAAAATAGGGTCACCTGGGAAGAGCTTCAAAACCAAAAAGTAAATCCGTAAAGCTTTATATAAAATCCTTTATTAAACTCGTATCAAAAATGCAAAAAAGCTCCAGATCGAAGGGTCTTCCTTTTCCCCTACAAAAACCTTCATTAGAATAGTTATTCTTCAGTAGACTAACAGCTAAAGCTTTCGAAAGGTGATGTCGCTGTGCCATGCGGTGTTGCATGACCTCGGTGGCAAGTGCGTTTGCGTGAGTCCGTGCCATTGGGGGAAGGAAAGCCTGCTGGTGTAAGCGCGGCGTGTCATGGTGGATAGACAGGGCGGACAGAGGTGGGCAGTTACGGTTGTTTTTGGGGAACCTAATTTAAAAAAACTACCCCCAAAATCGACCATGTTGGTAGTTTAGTAGCGGTTTGAAAGGGCGGCAACTTAAAACCAAATATAAACCGAACTTAGGGGTTCGGACGTGGTGTTTTTTAATTGGGGAGTGTTTATTAATAGGAACTCGGGATTAGTGGTACATATGGGATGGGCTATGAGGCTGTTCAACCTCTCTTGGCGTGTCCTTTTGAAGTCCCCGTGGGTTTTGGGACACCGCAGGATGCAGAAAGCCTTCGAGGAGGCCTCCTTCGCTCTCAAGGTTGGAGAGCTCTCGGAGGTGGTGTCCACTGACTCGGGCGAGCACCTCATCCTCAGAATCCAGTGACTGGGTGCTGGTTTTCAGATACAGTACTTTTGTTTTTCTACCTTCACCTAGAATGATTGAACTGACTGGACAAAGACTTTGGATTGAGTTGATGCTTTGGAAAGCATCAACCAGGTGACTGATGGGAGATGAAGTGACAGCGAATGGATCTCAACATGCGGAGGCTGGTGGCAAGGTTGGTGGTTACCCTGGTGGTTCCACTCAGGCTCTGCCTTAGGGAAATTGGGTTTCAAACTCAGAAAGTACCCCGGGCCAAAACTATTTTAGACTTTAGACCTTGATTTCTGGATTTCGGGGCTGCAGCGAGAAATGAATTTTGTGTTGAAAAGCCCTTGGAGATCGTCAAGACAGCGCGACCCAATGGATGGCTAAAACAAAGGCCCCACCCAACGCTGTGCCTTTGGAGGTTCTGTGCGGTAGCTGCCCAGATGCTTAGTAGTGTCCCAAAATTTGTGCTGATGCACAGGAATCCATGCAGATATGAGGCGTGTTTCACGCCGGTCAAAAAGGGGCTTCGAGTGCCAGTGCCGCCAAGCCAATGGATGCCTGTCGTTTGGAGTGCGATCAGAGTGATTCGAAGAGGAGGAGAGGCAAACAAACGCAAGACATTGGTTATATTATCCTTTTGGGGTGAAAAATGTTAACCCCATCTCGATCTGATATATATATATATATACACATGAGCAACGATGGTCACGGTTTTGATTTTCAATCTCGCCCATGCTTGCCGTCAGTATTGAAAACGGCGCTTATTGTGGAGAGACTATGGGTTAATATGTTTGATGACGTTTGAAAGCCAAGCGTGCCCAAATTTGAACACCCAACCAGTTCAAATAGAGAAACAATTTCAAATTGAACATATCCTTTGGGACAACCGAGGCGGTTTCCATGCTTTCCTTCGCTCCCCTTCTATGTTTTTCGTTTCCCTGTGCGGCCCTTGCTCATTTGCCGGTTCCGGGTCGTGTCCAGTCATTTACATGCACATCTGAGGCCGTTGGTCTATGCCTGGGGCTCCAGTGGGTTGGGAGTCTCAGCTGACTTGACGTGGAAGAGCAGATGCTTGGCACCGGGAGGTATGAAGGATGGGACGCCGGATCTTGGCATAATAAGCTTCAGATAGCTTCGGTTCGCGGGTTGGTTGTTTTTTCTCATGCGTGCAGCTTCGGGAGTGATTAGTGCAAGTGGTGTGCATGCCAAATGTTAAGGTGGCAGAGAATGGCGCAGGCCGTCCCCCCTCCGCTGGTTCACTACAGTTATATACTAGGTCGACCACCAGCTTGGCACATGTATCCCTTGATAGCTGCATGTTGGAGGAGGTACAGTACGGGGTGCCTGATGTAGGAAAAGGGAGCCAAAAATTTTGATAACCTTGGGGTTCACTGTATCACTAGCGCTGATTGCTCGGTAACATTCGGTAACTACTCTAGTTTTCTTGCCGTAGGCATATATATATATATATGGTACACGCTCACCGGAGAGGACAGGCCCGAGCTGAGACTTGGAAGGCCTGGGCACGGAAGGCCTGGCTGCAAAGGCATATATGAAGATGTTTCTGTCGAAACGGCGTGAAACGTGGAATCCAGTTCTTTTAGCCCAAACCGGCTCTAATCATAGCACATGAACAACTGTTCATCTAAACCAAGTTACCCAACTCTCATCTCTCTCTCTCTCTCTATTGTGCGCGTATCTCACCATTCGTCTCCCCATCGCATGATTTTTTGGTGGAGAAATATACACTACCGTGGTACCAACAAGCCCTAAGTCATTGGTCCTCAGTATATCTTCACCAAAGATTTCTGAGATCCGCCGCTCCGCCCCCTGTCTCGTCCCCCGTCTTATCTCCATCGGTCGGAGGTCGGGGCGCCTGGGCTTTGAGCCTGACGCTGGGGAGCCCGAGGTGGGACGGCACTGAGAGGCGGGGTGAGAGGAGTCCCATCGAATTCCCCTGTGGATGTGGGATGTTGCGATGGTGCGTATGCATGTGAAATCTGGAAATTGTCGTGATTTGGTGCCACTGCTCAAGTTTCTGGAGAGATCTTCTTGGGGGGTCCAGAGCCCAGAGCGGCGGTATTTTTGCACCATTCTTCTCTACCTTCCATCTCCCTGGAGACATTATGGGGGTTTTGTGCGGGACTTGTGGTTTGGAAGTGGAACCGCACCGGACTCTTTAAAATTTGGCAATGATGACAGCACTTGGTTGTACCAGTGATGGCAACAGTAAGAAGCAGGTACATAAAGGATACCAGCAAAGGACCCAAATGCGAGCGCATGCAAATGCACAGAACCCGACACTCACTTCATGCTAGTTGCATGACCAAACCCAACAAGAGAGATGGAGGCTGATTGGCCTTTGCATGGCGTGTCTGAGGAACTCGATAAACTCCAGATGCTGCAAATCCGGGAGATGAACAAGGCGCACGGCCTGCAGGGCTGCACTGATGGCAGCGGAAGGCGATGTTTTTTTCCCTCTCAGGACGTGTCGCAATCTTCGGGGAGCTTCCCCCAAAGATATCCATCCTCTCCAACCATCCCCAACAAAAGGCCAGGAACATGAGCTCCGCCGGCACCCGTTCTTGACACCGCCCTTGGAACCTCTCTCCGGACAGCTCACATCGCTGGGCTCAGGGGAAGGTGCCCGAGCGGACGCAAATGACGGGGCCGAAGCATTTGCGCGCGGGAGCCCGATGCCAGCGTCCGACACGGGGGCGACACTGGTAGGTGGCTGCAGGAACCTCAGATTTACATCGAAGTGAATACACCAGTCCTGGGGCTAGTAGGACATTAGTTTGATTTAGTTGGACATCATTAAGAAACATGTTCAAGAGATCCAACACATCATAAACCACTTTGGTTTGAAAGCCATCAGGCAACTCATGGTAACTCCGCTATACAAATGGATTTGCCCCTCAAAAACCATGAACAACACATACAAAACCCATTGTTTTTTTCGAGGGAAAACCAGCATTTTGATGCTTTGTGGCCCCTTTGGTCAGCTATACATTCACACTCGTACATCAGTCCGAGCGGCCGGAACGAGATGGAATTCACGGGGTGGCACGAGCGGAACACACGGGCCGTTCCGAGCGGAACACGCGGCATACCGCTCAGGCCAGGAGTGGAATCAACAGGGGGGTGACGGTTATACAATGGCCACATCTCATGGCTGCAAACGCTTTGGGCTTCCGAAACGGGAGCCCAAAAGGATCCATTTGGACCGGGTCCTGGCTGTGTCCACCCCATTGGTGGATGCAGCATACAATGGCCCCTGTGTGGATGTTGAAGGTGGAGGGTTCAGGAAGCAGTTTGGCCGAATTGATTCCAGCGAGTTGCAATCATTCCAATTTCAGAGTGCCACCACAGATAGAGGGGAGAAAAATCCCATGAACAGACGTGATGGCTCAATGTGAGAAAGGCCAAGGTCCAAGGTGAGAAAAGGATCTCCGCTCCAAATCTCCGGCTCCGGTTCAAACTGGAGGTATTTATCCTCCCATCAAGGTGGTCGGAACCTCGGGCTGTGCGGGCTGTACGCGGCCTTCGACGGACGCGGACACATGGCTTGTCCCTGAAAGTCCTGGCAGGGCTGACAAGTCGTCGTGAATCCTGTTGAGACGTCTTTTCTTTCTTGAGACCCTGTGGTTTTTGCAGAGTCAGGTGGTTTCAGTTTTTGATAGTTTTTGCAAAGTCATGTTTTTCGTTTGTTTTGTTGCCTTTCATTATTTTGCCTTTCAACTGATGGCCATGTGTGAGGCCAATCGTTGGAGGAAGGGGCAGAAGGATGCTGGCCACCATGTGGTGGCTGAAAAGCCACAATCCATCGACAAGGAAAGTTCTCAGCTTAGTCGCAGGGTTGGGCAAAGTGGCACCGTCTATGAACATGATGTAGGCTATGTGCCTACTATGTGAAGAGAACTCTTCTTCCGTTCGATTTGGCCCTCCACCTTTGGAACCTCTCCCGCCAATCCGTCCCTCCGAAATTGGAGGGCTCGACACCCCTTCTCTCGCACCCGCCGGCACATGGGCCCAGGTCGGAAGTGGATGGACTGCCAGCAGAAGCTCTTCGAAGAGTCTCCAGCCTGGGTGCTCAGTGATTCCGGGAATGACGGCCGAGGTCGGTGGCGAGGTCGGTGGCGATCTCACCGGAAGCGACTTCCTGGTCAAGGCATGTTGATCAAGTGAAGATTGGAGCGTAGGTGTTCGAGGGTGATGAGCCCAAACCCCGTTCGTGCGGCGCCATGGCTGACCGGGCTTCGGTCAGTGATTGGGAAAGGCCTGTGGTTGTCGGAGAGACGACGGGTCCAGCCGTTCGTGGCCGCCCCCAGGCATGGGGAACCCACCCAGGGTGAAAACGGGGCTCCAAGTTTTAACCCACAGCCATATATAGAGGAGATTCGCAGGAGGCCCGTAGCTCAAGGGGGAGAGTTCGCCACACGCCCTAGATGGGCCTAGATAGCCAGTTTGGAGATGTAGCTTTGTCAAGAGAATGATTGACCAAATGATGTGATGTGCTAAACAACACGCCTGTGTTGGTTCTTCCGATATCGATGATGGAAGAATCGGCTCACTTGGAAGACAGGCGGTTCTTCGATGTTCTTCTTACTGTATATCAATCATTGGATCAAATAGGAATGGGCAGTCTGACGCTCAGATACGGCATTGTTTCCAGAGACAACGCCATCCCATGATCTGTGCTTGCTGCACAGAACATTCTGCGCGCACACACACACAACTGAGGACTTTAAGACCAAGGCTCTCCAGGATCAAGAGAAAAAGGTGGGATGTGATCCATGTTTTGCCAGCAGTTGATTCTCATCATTGGAGTTTGAGTCTAAGTTTTAAGCGATAAGCCAGCGGATCAAACGTATAAGCCTTGAGTTCCCCAGAGCTGATGTGTGACTCATGCTTACCCCACCTGACCATCTATGTACATACCTGGAAGCTCTCTTACTAGCCTGCGCCAGTTCTGCTGCTCAGAGGCTGAAAAGACCTGTAAGAGTCAGCTGGATTTCATCCGGCACTTGTGGGAGAAACCCACCTCCAGCAGGGGCAGCTCAGATGGACGCCGTCCGTCATGGAAGGAGTGGCGGTGGTGGAAGGAGGCATCTGGAATCGGAGGAGGCAGAAAGACCGTAGTTAGAACACCCGGTTTTTGGTGCAAGTCTTCAAGAAAGAGAGGAAGTCTTACTTAGCAGATGGCACTCGTACTCGTACTGAATGCATGCCTGTTATTGCATTGGCTTACCTTGCATTGGCTTGCAGCCTGTCGTCACTGCCAAGTTGTCCCGTGCGGATGCAGATGTTCCTCTTCACCCCACCCCATCCGCTCAATGGGCCACACCTGTCATGCCATCCCATCGCCCCCCCCTCCGGCGCTCCGCGGAAAGTGACCGGACTCTCCCAGGGACCGACCTCACCGAATACACGCCCGGGTGCTCGGATCGTGAAGGCATACGTCGGATCGGTCCGAAGACGCCGTGAAGAGATGTGCCAATCAGTGGGAGTCATGGAGCAATGGCCATCAAAGAGGGCGCGCCCGCTTTTGGCCATGAAAGGAGGCTGCACTCGTCATGAAAGGAGGCAAGAATGGTCCAAGCGCATTGACAGCAGCTATATTTGATGTTCCTTGATGTTCATTGTGTGATCCAGCTCTTTGACTGGCGCTATTCGAGTTCGGGCGCCCCCTCGCAGTCAACTGTGAGCTCCTCTCTTAAACTCGAAGCAGTTCAACTTCTGGTCTTCCTGTTGGTGAGCGGCTGCTGGAGGAATCTGGGATGTTCCCTCATCCCTGAAGAGAGTGCCGTTTCTGAAGCATTGCTTTACTGGGGCGCAAACCGCGGAAACCGCGCTCCCCAATGCAAACGGGTTTGTTGTATTTTTTGTGGCACGTATAAGTATATGTCACAATTCACAATCAGCAATTTGTGTATATATTCACATTCAAATGAGGTATTCAGTTTTCAGTTCTCCGGATCTTCTCAATGAAGAGCAGCATTCTGTTCATCAAACCAGCGGTTCTGTCCATCTTTTGGTCCTTTCGGTGGCCTTTGTGAGGCTGCGGCAGTTGAGGAAGGAGATTGAGGTGGAGTATGTGCGAACCTTGCACGCCGGGTTCACCAGATTGGGGGGGAACCCCACAGGGTCTCCGCCGTGATCTCTCTCTGCAGACCGGTGAGATCAGAGTCGAGAGGAGTCCGGAGGACTTCCGAGAGTGATGACATGAGCTTTTAGGCTTTACTAGTCGTTTGGTGTGAAAGGACATGCTCCAAATGAGATGCCTCTGAAACACTTCCATGGGTGCCAACAAAGGGTCACATCCATAGGTTGTCAGGGGTTTGGGGGCGGGTCCTCAGGGGTCATGATCCGACCAGGTTGGCCGGTTGAGGAATGGGGACAATCTGAACCCGAGACATCCTCCTTCAACCATCCCTTGAGGAAAGAAACTTCATTGTTTCCGGGTGATGGGATGCCGCGGATTCCATCTACTATATATACTGTAGCCGTGCGCGGCATCCCATCACAAGGTGCAGCTGAACCTTCAACCCCGAGACCCGACTCGTCCTTCGCACCCATGCCTCCCACCAAGCCCACAACCGCGCTCGCGATCCGAATGCGAGGCCCTCAACATGTCCGGCAGTGGTGATGGGCCGCAGATGGAGAAGCTTATGTGGGTCCGGGAGCTCCGGAGATGGGAGTGTGTCTGGATTTTGCTCGATGTATGGCAGACATTCATAAGACCATCTGCACCCCCACCATTTGGGGTGTGACACCTTTGCACATGAGGGCGTTTGATCAGTCAACAGTCTACAGCATGGAGGTCGTACTGCAGCTCATTCCTGGCGTCACCAGGCCAGTGCTTCCAACATTCCACAGACTGCGTGGCCTTTCCGGTGGCCTTTTCTTGGCACGATTGAACCCACTGACACCTATTTTGGCGTTCGTGAGTTGAAATCACCAACCAGATCCCTTACTCACCGATGATGTTCTGTAGGCTTCAGGACTTCAGGAGAGACATGTCAATGTAGCCTCCAGGGAGCTGACATTTGGAATCGAGTCGATGGTTGTAAGGCTGATGGAGCAATTGGAGGCTCACTTGGATGCCCTCAACGAATCGGTTTTCTCAGTTTCATAAGGGGCCAAGAGAATGTACTGATGATTCAATGGTCCTGGCACCCGTCCTGGAGATAGTTGGACACATTCCACTCTCGTTGGAGGCTTTGGGTCATCAGGGCCATCCATGAAACTAGGCGGGGGAGGTTTAGACATTCTAGGAACGGCTGTGCAGCGATTGGTTGAAAGCATTTCCAGGCAGCTGACGACTGAAGAATACCACCGATTCTTTTGGCTGGGGACAGCCCCAACCCATCCGCACAAATGTGGGAAAGCTTTGAAGGTTAGGATGTCAACCAGTCATGTGAGTGTTCGATTTTGGGCGGCGAGACCGACATGATTTTTCACGACCGGCCATTCATTCTTAAGCATTTTGCAATCCAGCACATGATTCACATGTCACCTGCCTAACCTTCTCTCCTTCAAGTGTGCCACCCAAAATCTTCAATGTCCAAATGGTGATTCCTCACAAGAGATCTATATCAGTCCAGCATACTATTTTGTTGCTCTGAATGCTGCAGTGCCCTTCCTCGGGTTCCCTCTCATTTGAGGCAATGTGTTTCCAAGGTCAAGACCGATGTGGACATCAAGAAGAAGCTGCTCAAGTTTGAGGAAGACATTGCCGCACCGATTGGGACTCACCAGCACTCTGTTGGCATACAGGTTCCGGACTGTAGTAGTTTTCACCAGGTGGTTCGGCGTTGCGGCCATTGTCCCAGGGTCTTAGACGGCCAATCCAAGCACACCCCAATTACCCCAATTCCTGTGATTTTCCCACCTCAAAGATCTCTAAGTTCCACAATTCGCTAGGTCAGGTCACCGGGGAGAAAACCGGGCGTCTCATCGATGTTCCCCATTGTTCTCCAGTCCGTACATCAGTGTTCCTTGCACGCTGCCTAGTTGGCAGGGATGGATGCGCTTTTGGACATCCAAGAGCTGTTACTATGCTCATTCCTACCGAGGGAAAAGGTAAATGGTTGTAGTGACTCTCAAAGAAAGAAAGATAGATAGATAGATAGACAGATAGATAGATCGACAGACAGACAGACAGACAGACAGACAGACAGACAGATAGATAGGCAATTAGATAGGTAATTAGATTAGTAATTAGATAGATGTATCGGTAGATGTATAGAAAAGGAGCTCCCTTCCAAAACAGTCTTAATGTGTGATTTGTGGACCACTCTAAGTTCAAGTTGGGCCCACCAGCTGTTCGCAGGAGCTGCTGTGGATCCTTCAGCAGCAGCCGCTTTACATGGCCCGCTTGAGCGCTGCCTTGAGGAAGAACAACGTGCAGGTCAGGGTGGGATTGGACCTTTGCCGTTGTGGGTGGGATGGGCCCCGTGAGGCATGTGGGCCGTCCCTGACGGGTGTGCTGACGGGTGAGTCTTCAAATCTGCCTCACATGCCTCACTCTGTTTTGGGGGCTGCCCGGAAGTCAAGCAGCGTCCAAGTCAAGAATGTTTATGGATAATGACAATCATGCTTTCAAACAGCTCTGGTGTTGCTGTATTGGGGATCGTTGAACGTTTCCGACTATACTGGAAGCCACGCAACCAACCATTGGGCTGGCAACCCTATTTACTAAGCGTTTTTCTTTCCTTGGTTTGGCTGCTTCAGTGTGCTTGTTCCACTTCAGAGGGGTTGGTAGCAAGCTCCTTTCTAGAAGATTGCCTAAAAGATCCTAAGTGGTGTGGGCACAGGCCTTATTCCCAACAAGTGTTTGGTTCCTCTTCGGACATTGTGCCGCAATCCCGTTGTAGTAGTTGTTGATGCCCCCGCACCCATTTTTCTTGGGCGGTCACCTCATGCATGAATTTCATTGAATTTCAGCCTCCCAAAGCCTTAGACTATTAGACCCTAGGCAGCCGTTCCCGCCCCTCCTCCAAGCTGTCCACGAATCCGAATGCTCCTCGATGTGCCAGGATAGCGAGCATCAGATTTTCCGGAAGATGTGCCAACGCATCTTCCACGACCTCTTTCAGCCACGCCGGAGGACCAGATTGCTTCTTCGGAATCATCGGAGCGAGCGCAAGCTCGAGCTCGAGCAGAATTGGTGAGTTTGAATGAAACTCAAGGAGTATGGCAAGAAGTCGTCACTGGACAAAGAGAAGTTATCCATTTCTACACAAATATCCCAGTCCTTACTACCTCTCACGTCTTTAGCACTCGCGTGTGAAACGTGAGCGGAGCGCCCCTACACCTCAAAACACCCAACTAGCTGGGATGGTTGAGCCTTAGGCTCATGTTGTAGCCTTCCAAAGGCCTGAAAGGTTGACCTGTTGCTGTGACCTGCTGCTGTGGTGCAAAAAATCCTCAGTAAAACCATGGTTGTCCGAAAAAATCCTTTAGATCATTTTAGATCCATGGTTGTTGGAAGCCTAGGGCAAAGACCAATAATCTTTTGGCAGTTCTTTTGGCCCATTTCCTTCGTACCGTCGGGCGGCTCGAGCGGCTCTAGCCGCCCCGAGGCACGCTGCATCTCTGCAAGTCCACGCCAGGGGTGCTCGGAAGGGGTGCTGAGACCGAGGTCCAACGTCCGGTGAAGGTCCGTGAGGCGTTCCATGCATACTGCGGATGTTTTTTGGCAAAGCTAAGGATTAGAAGCCCTTCGTTTGGAAATGGTTTCGTTGTGATTTGTTGGCAAGTATGGCCCAGTATGGCCATTCATTTATGGCATTTTGGTGTTGAGTCAGTTTTGGGTTGTTGAGGAGGTTTCGCATTGCCGCAAGCATATTGCAGGAACTGATTCAATTCCTTCCAGAAATGACTTCAGATTCTGCAAACTCATTCTATTCTATATACAGCTATAAAAAAACAATTTACATCGAGACCACCCCTCGACTTGGGCCTGTGCCTTTTTAGAACTCGGCCTTTGGGCGTTTTGGCACGGGTTTGCAATTGGATGATGTTCATGCTTTGCATATTCTCTTGGGACAATTCTTCCCCATGTGCAGTACGTACTGAGACTGAATCATCTTAATGTAATCGATATGCGTGAGATGGATGGAACCTCCCAAAGCAGAACACCTATCCACCCCTCATGTTGCCCAAATCCGCTTGTTTCAGGCTGCAGCTGATCGCACAGTCGGAGGTGGAACAGGCCAGAGTTCCGGCATAAAGCTTCGCAGATGCGGTGCTGGTCGAGAATTGGCACCTGGAAATCATGGAAATCCAGTAAGTTCAAGGAACAAAATGCCCTATGCCCAGGATTAGGCCATCACGGATGTTGTTCAATTCAGTAGCCATTCAGTAACCTAAGGGTAGTAAAATATAATTGTTTTGATTGGCTCCACCATGTCCTCCCCCACTTGGACCGTCTCATCGACCGGATCGAGTGAGGCGCGGAATATCTCGGAGCTCTTTCATCCGGCGAAGTCCCACGCGACCTTCCTCATCACCCAGCCGGGGCCGCCCGTGCCACCCTGGGCGAGACCGGTGGCGGGGCCAAAGGCGGGGCCAAAGGCGGGGCCAAAGGGGTCCAAGGGGGTCATGCTATGGACATCTATGGAGCATGGATGACCATGGCCCATGAGCGCAGGTGCATGTGAATTAGAATGAGAAAGCAGCCTGGGAATGCCTGGGAATGCCTGGCCCCAATGGCCAAGCCATTCTCTGCACATGCTTATCATTTGGCTAGTCAAGTCATTGCTGGTCATGCCAGATGTGGCAAGACAATACCCGAATCCTCCAGCGCTATTTTTTGTTGTGGGGGTAGTTTTCTTTGGATGCTCAGCTGAAACCATCAGTCCTTGCACACCTAGGCTGGCTACGCATGCAGCCTTTGTGGATGGCATTGCGTTCCCCATCCTCAATCCAGAGGCGGAATCTCCAAGGTTGTCAACTTCTTCCGGATGATACAGCTCCTCTGGAAAGCTCCAACGGCCCTGGGAAAAGACCAAAAAATTGATTGCTGATGTTCAATGTAAGCTTGCCAGCAGTGAAGGCTAATTAACTTATATCAACTTATATCCATAATTGTTTGGAATATAACATCAGCCCTCAACATAGACTCCAGCGTATCCAAGTACCGACGATTTCTTGGGCAACCGGTGTCCGATAGTGGTTCCAGCCGCTGACAGACATCCAGCCTGGTTGATTACATTGGGGTGGTTTCAGCGGTCAATGTCCAGTTCCACCGGTCGTCTTTGGGATCAGTGAACATTGAACCAGTCCACTGAACCTTCAATGTCTATTCCAGTCCCACTGAACCTTTAAATCAGTGAACCCGTTTTTCGCTTTTCGATTCCATCGGTACGCTCTCGGCCGTTTTCGGGTTCGGTTCTCCGGTCGCTTGATGGGACGGACCTGGGGGATTGGGCAGTTGAAACGCTGCACTGTGGTGGCATGATGCGGCGCATGTGAAAAAGGCCTCACGTATTTTGTGTGTGTGGTGCTCCATATAGTATTTTTAACTTGCAAGAGGGGCTGGCTGATGATCATGATCAGATCACCATCCATTTGCATTCTTCCCAGGAGGCCGACATGTTCCGGAGTTCTCAGCAGTATGTTTCAGCCAGGATGAGACATCCCTGGTCTCGATGATCATCAAATACACCATGATGAAGAAGGAGCCCTCGCACGGTGGCCCCATCCGAGCCTGAGAGAGTGTTTTTATCAACTGAGGTTCGATGAATCGAAACTGGAGAATTCCCATAACAAATATCATTGCGACTGGACTGGGCTTTGCAGGATTCCAGGGTCTACCTTTTTCGGTTTCAGATGGATAGTTGAGGACGAGGTTGTCGTACTGTCCAGTGGCCGAAGTAATGACTTTCCTTGCAAGGCCGCTTCTGTTGGAAAGACAAATGAAGCCATCATGCTAATCTGTTAATCACATGCTATCTAGTCCAGGATTGTTGTTTATGATTGAATCCGATCAACACTTGAAGTTCCTGTCAGTGGCAGTGTTCTTGATAAGGGAAAGCAGAGACATACTTGTGGAGTTAGAAAGGTTCAAGAGTTGGAGATGTTGTGCCGAAAGAGGACTCATCAAATCATGCTGTGTACGCAGTGTACGCGTTGGCTGGCTTTGGCTGGGGTCCTTGTAGCCACGTGGAGTATTTTGTATGGGGTGTGGAGGCCCCTATGTATCCCTGTGGTCCTGGTACAAAGCGGCCATACAGTTCATGATGGGAGCCCCAAACGGGTCCTGAAAAATGCCGGAGCCTACAGGCAAACAGAAACGACTTCGAACCCTGATATGTTTTTGTTTTGTATCGTATAGTCGTAGTCCCCATTGCCAAATTCTTTGAGAATTGGGCCGGAAAGCCCTGGGGCATGGCCCACCGGCCCACCAGCGGGCTGTGGGTCGCCTTCATCCCTTCATCCCAGGACGGAGAATCGCCGCGGATCGCAGGGACCGGGCAAGCGTGGTGGGGTCCGACGTGGTGTTCAACCGCCGCGGAGCACGTGCTCGTGGGCGTTCGCCCCTTGGGTGCTGGAGCATGATCAGTGGAGGTCTTCAGGGGTGTCAACTTTGTGAGTCAGATGGGCGAAGTCAAGTAGAGTTCGAACTATGTGGGTGAGGTAGGACGGCCTGGATGGAATGAAACGCATGGGAATTGGGTTGGAGTTCGGATTCATGATTCACCCGGGCATCACAAAGGCTTTTGTGAAGGAAAGTTGCCTTATAATTATTTATTCTTGTCTAGGCTCCATGACGGAATCTGCCGCAACTGGAGTTCGGGAATTTCTCGTGCTTGACGATGGATTCACAATGGATGATCTCCTTCTCCATTCCGCTGAAAAGCCGGAGACGCACCCGGTGTTCCAGAGCTCACTCCCCCAGAGACGGCGGCTTGGCCTCCACGCCACTCCGGCGCCCCTGCGCCGTGCCCTGCACGGTGTGGGCGCCGCAGTCCTTCCCGTCGCAGGACCAGCGAGCAGGATTTGAACGTGGTCACTGGAGTCTTTGTGACGCATTGGTTCGAGTACCAGGCGGGGCGCGAGGCGAGGGCCCGAGGCAAGCGAGGTGGGTCGGGTCGGGCCGTAGGGAAGGGAAGCGAGGGCTTCCATGATTGGCTCAACCCAAGTTTGCACTCCAGGCTCCAGGGCTAGGTCTATCGCCGGTGGCCTTTGATTCAGAAAAATGGTGGCTTCCTCCGATACCTCACTACTTGGCTCAAGAATTGTCGCAGCTCACTCAGGAGCTGGTTCAGAAGGCCTTTGCCGATCGACCTGCACCACCAGGTGCTGGCTTTTGTGCAGGGTGACAGGTGACACTTCATGACTTTTGTTCGTGACTGTTTGCACATTGATTGAGTTCAACCGGAAGGATTATGATGCACAGGAAGAGGAAATCGCTTTGCCGCCGACACGCGCGTTCCTGCCGCTTCGCATCTCTTCCTGTGCGTCGGGTGGACTGTGTCAGGGAGCGAGAAGAACCGCTACCTGAACTTCCAGACTGAGCTCTTGGCCTTTCAAAGAAGTTGCGTAGAGGTGTTGGGACGGGAAAGGGTGACCAATATGCCCAGACACTCCATGGGACTGCCATAGTGGATCATCGTTCCCTGTAGATTCGGGTAGTTTGGGGAGTCATTGTTGGCATGTATAGCATACATGAAGTGTTTGGGACAGAGTCCTGGATGATGGGTCAGTTGCTCCAGCGCTATCAAGATTGATCCATTAGGAGAGCGGGCTCCATTGAGTTGCGTAACGTGCCGCTGGAGGTGCAGGTGTTATCTCTTCATGTGTCAAGTTGGATGCCAGCCTGCCGTCAGCACGAGTGCCATGAACGCAAGAGGGCCTCAAAAAAAGCATGTGCGTGTGTTTGATGCAAGAGTGTAGGAATCATTTTCACATTTATGTTCCAATTCTGCGTTCTCGGATCCGGGGTCATTTGACAGTCCTCTCAGTTCATGTGGCCCATCCCTGACACCTCTTTCAGAGCCAGGACAGTCGCAGCAGTGAACGGGAGAAGGACGGTGGACGGGGGGGGAGCCATGCGAAGCCTCCGGTGCTCTGACATCGCCATAGAACGAGGGGATCGAGGTGCCAAACAATTGGTGGGTGGAATTGTCTTGAGCATCATTTTCATGCCAGGCTTGCAGCTGCAGGATGTCCGAAAAGGCGCCGGCCTCTCATTTTCACCTGTTGAAAAATTGGCATCATGGCCCGGATGACAGACCATGATAGACCCAGTGCCCTGACCGGAAGACCAAGCCCTGTCCTTCACGGTGGAGGTCCGTCGGTCCGACGTGGTCCACCGGACAGGTCGGCTCGGCTCCGGGCCCGGCGAAGGCGTTCCGTCGGCTCGGGTCAGGTTCCGGTTTGAAAAAGGAGGTGGCAAGCAGCCAGGCCAGCTCAAGGTTGGATTCCAGGCAAGCCACGGGAAGGAAACCACTTAGCTTCTTTGCAGGACGTCTATGCGGGGTGCATCCCGAAATTCATCCGCAACTTCGCTTGAGCCTGAGGTGATCACCGCCAGCTTGGCACAGCTTTCAGACGTTGGACATTGGACTGGTGCATGTGGAACATGTTTTGGAGGCTGGATGGGTTTCAATGCATCAACACCTTTACACCCCAGACATCCCAAAGCTGGACTCCCCAAGATGCCTACCAGAGACTACAATCAGTTGGAGGAAGCTTTTGAGGTGGAGAGTAAGACCGGCAAGACATGGCAAGACTCTTCTCAAGGTCCTTTTTAAAAGGGTCGCTGTCACGGATTATGATGGATTATGCATGTGGATGCATGTGGTGATATGTCATTTCTCATAGTATATGAGTTGTCCTGAGGGGTGCTTCGCTACCTGTTGAAGTCGGCTGACCGTTTTCTTTTGTTTTTTTGCCGCTCCAGCTGCCAGTGATGCTGGCGTTTTTACGGGGCAGGCCCAGCCTCAGGGGGTTGTGGAGATGGGACTCTGTTCCGTGTGGCCTTCAACAGCAAAGACTTTGGAAGTTGCTGCCCTTCGTGTTTCTTGACACATCTTTGTGAGAACTCTTGAACCAACCTCCTCATTGACCTGCAATCTGTATAGAGGTGGCCAACCTGATCAAGGGTCGTTTCTCCGAATTTGGATTCCCTGGTCAACGGATTCTTCGGCGTTCGGGCGGTCCCGATCGTCTCAGAGCTTCGTCGGAAGATGTTCCTGAGGTGCGGCAGATCTTCGAAGACGAGCGGGCCAAGGATTTCAAAATGTTGCTCGTGCCCGGGGGCCTGAGGTCAGCCCTCCCACGACCAAAAGACGAGAAACCCCCACGACATGACGCACGCATTTGATGGAAGATATATGAAGTGGAGTGACCACCCCCCTGCTTTTCACAGGGAAGCAAACTATTATATACCCACCTTCCAAGAGGTCAACATGCCATCCACAGAATACTCAGTTTACTCGTGTGGCGCGCACGTCCGAATGTGTGCACAACCACCTTTTTGGACGGTCACGTCGCCAGAGATCCCGGTTTTGTGTCGATGGCTTGTCTTTCAAAGCTCGGTGCCCCCGCAATTCGGAACTGGAATGCGCCCTAGGGCTCCAACCACCTCCTGAGAAGGTGGTTGGGGTAGGTTTTGGGGGTCTAACTACCTTCTGAGGATGTGTCGCCGGTCGTCCAATTTCCAAGAAACAGCACACCTTGAAACTCCACAGCTCTCAACCCTCTATCCAACCACGGTTCCGTGGAAGTCGTCCTCCACGGAACCCATGATGCCCATGGGCCACTTCTGCTGGACATGGTCATGACTTCGTTTGGCTCAGGTGTTTGGTTTGGAAATTCTTCGATCAAACAGCATTCCTTCCGTACCAAGGTCCTGCTTCAAGGCCCTGCGTGCTTCTCCGGCGGCGCCTCGGCTGACGGACCGGGTGGCGCTCACTCGGCTGACGGTCAAAGACCCTCAGACGGACCAGTGTGGGGTGGTCCCTCAGACTTCTCCAAGCAACCTTGAGGTTGTATTGAGAACGAACAATTCAACACTTCATGGTCAATATCACCTAATTTGGATCGTAAAAAGGTGCAGCCAGCAGGGAATCAGGTCCTGATCTCAACCAAATATGTAATGCTACCTGAAGGGATTTGCCATGGTGTGTGCCCAGCAGTATTTGCTTCATTTGTTCGCCGAACCAGTGAGAGCGGCCTTAGGATGCACCAGTCGGCTCCCGTCGGACGGGCCGTAGGAAATGGTTGGTCACGGTTGTGAGTTGCTATGGTTGTGTATATAGGTCCCACTTTCATGCCACGAGAGGGCATCGCGGCATCACAAATTCATACCGTGTACTTGCGCTAAGTCTAAGTCGTCTAAGTTGTCTGGTTTTGTGTCAAAGTCGTCCGGATGCAGGGTTTCCATACTGTTTCCATGCGTTCATTCGGTGCCAGACACAAAAGTGGCATTCTCATTGGCTTTCAGCCCCTCCAAGGCTACAAATTTTGACACATATGACATAAACCTTTTAGTCATGCTTGGTCTTTGGATTTGCTTTTCTTGGGCAGGAAATCCTTGATGTACTACAGTTTTTTGCAAATGAACATGCTTCCGAAAAGCATTTCCATGGTGTTGTGATATAGTTATATAAGATGGGGGACTTTCCACAATCCAAGCCAGATGACTTCTCACTAATGCTGCGTTTCCATGCAGCCGGGTGACTGCTTAACCCATGTGCTAGTATGGACGAGATATTTCTGCTGGCGTCCCAGATGGAGAAGACAAATACCGACCAGGATGCGACGGACCAGTGGTCCAGTTCACAGTCCGAATTTCAAACTACCAAATAATTACATATCAGCCATGTCCGACACTTGGCTTAAAGAGGACCTACTGCTACCCAGTTCAATTCATTTTGCAGTATGGTGCAGTATAAAGATGTAGTTGTGGTTGGCCGAACCCTTGGATCCAGATAGCCGACCTAGGCCAAAGGCATCGAGCAATCAGAGCTGGGCACTGAGGGATCAAAAGCTGTGCAGATGAGCCGGAAACACCATGTAGCTGTAGCTTGACCTTCCAGGTAGGTTAACCATGGTCGACCAAGGTATCCTGGTTTTGACCAACAGCCCCCCCAAAAAAGCAGAGAAGACAAGGACTCACCAGTGCAAGGCCCAACGAACAGGCTGGGATAGTCTATGAAGTCGTTACTTGACATGATTAAAGTTAAACACACAAAGATTATGACCATGCAGTGCAACTTTGCCTTAGCGTTCTCCGCAACTATATTCATGGTTGTGGACACTTCTGGTCTCCCTCTTCCTGTCGCAAAAACCACGAGGATTCCCTGGCATGTGGAGCCTCATAGCTAATTTCTATCCAAGCCGTGGTGGCCATCCCCGTCCCTCCGTGCGGGGTCCACACCGGAACCCGCCGCCCAGTCCGAAATTCTGCACTCCGATCGCCTCCATAGCCCGGAGCCCGGCGGAGCCGGGACGGGTCGCGGCTGGTCGCGGCTAAGCTTTCCTACAAACCTCAGATAGGTTTGCCCTGCACCCTGTCCAAAGAGTGACCAATTTGGTGCATCTCTTTGTGCTTGGAATGAGGTGTCTTGTAAAAATTGGGCTTTGCAGCTTCTGCATTTCCACGTGACCCTCCCATGTGTGACGCAGAACATGCACCAGTGACTGCCACAGTCAGCCCCCATCCCGAAGCGTCCCGCTTCGCTCCGGCGGCTTAACGCCTTCTTGGGCGGTCCCACCGTTCACGTTTCCGCCCAGTCCCGTCCCCGGCGCTGCACATGGCCGAGTTCGCTTGGCTCCAGGTGCTGGCCAACATCTTGGCGAGCGTCCTGGAGGCCGCTCAGACGCCCCACTTCAGTCTGGAGACCTCAGTGGTCGCCGACATCGTTCGGTGAAGCGTTTCGGGGGACCCATTTAGAGGCGTTGGGGACCAAACGCCAAGTGTTTGCGCATATCACCTGAAGGGTAGTATGAATCTGAAGTAGAAGCAATTGATCCGCGTTGGATTGAATTCAGTGATGCAGCTGTTGGCGAACAAAGCGAAACGGCTGAACTTTATATTAAGACAACTACGGTAGACCTGGTCAGAAATATGTCTTAAACGGACATTAATAAAGGATAAGTCACCTGCGACATCATGCGACCAAAGTTAGACTACTCTTTTGTAGTTTTGGATATCCTAAGCCTGTTCTTTTGCACGCACACATGCACACACACACACATATATATATATTATATATGCCGGGATGTTGTAGGATATTGTAGGATTATTATAGTGAAACTGAGTTTGAAACATGATACATTAAATATATATAATATATATATATTTATTATATATTAGTCATATGTTTTGGTTGTGCTTGTTCATATAAATCGTGCAGATGGCTTAATCGTAGTCTTGCATTTTTGAATCTGGACTATATATATATAGGTGTTAAAACCCGCCCCTGAAAGTAAGTAGGGTCTAGTTTCTTGTCCAATAACCTTTTTCACACAATTCCCAACCGAAGGCTACAACGCCCTGGATAAATCCTGACAAAAGTGGGGTCCATGGCAGGCGTCTCAATGCCAAGCCCTGGAAAGTCCGGCAAAAGATATAACTATATAGCCGGAGGCATCACTGAATCAATGCTTCTGGCACAAGCTGTTGGACAAAGTCAAGAGACAGAGGGCACCAATGGTTCCCTTATTTTTGCGTTTTGCATTGGGGGTAGATGACGAATGACTTTTTGCCCACATGGGACCTGAGGCGAATCATGGGACGTGATGTCGCTCGAACGGACCTTGCTGCCGGTGAAACACCCTCCCAGTCCGCAGGGACGGGGTGCTTTGCGCCGCCGCCGCACCGATGATCCGAGGTTTGGTGGTGCTGAAGATCCGAAAGAAGGTCTTTGAGAGCCACATGAACAGGACATGTCGGGGGAAAAATCGATGTTCCTCACCGTATTTATAGGTACATGATCGGTGCATATATAGTATACATACATTTAATTACATTATGACACACACACACACACATATATATACATATATATATACACACACACATATATATATATACATACATATACATGTGCAATTTGTATTGGACAGTTGTGTGCATGAGATTCTAGCTTCCAAGACATAGAGGCCCGAAAAATCCGCTTTCACAGGAGTCTCAGTCTTCTTCAAGGAATGAAGGGTAATGGAAGTGACTTGCAAATTGCCCTGTACATGCCTACATGCACCTGCTATAACAATTTGCATGGAAATCTGCGATGTGCCGGAAGTATCATGAAGTATCTATGATCATATATGGCACAATCAACCCACCTGCCGCGCTAACTTGCAAGGCTGATAACAGTCAATACGGGTCTACCACATCACTGAAGGGGCCAGATATTGCCAACCGATGAGCGCAGCCTCCGGTGTCCAAGAAAAGTGACTTTGAAGCCTGCAGGATGAAGAATGCTGGTAAGAATGATGGTGATTTTGATCCACTGGATGTGGCCGAACTGCTGGTGGAACGGGTCCTCTACAACATCCAGGTGTGCGCGTGTGCGCAAGCGCGCACGAGCGCACGTTTGTGCGCCACCAGGCGTTGCAACACAGTGGATCGGTTTGTTTTCGTATCCACTGTGATAGACACGTCATAGACTTCCGGTTGATAACAAGGACAAATGCAGCAAATACAGGGAGGCCTTGGCCCTGGATGTTGTTTTCTTAAAAGCTGCGCATGCAATGTTTGGCTCACACAAAATTCAAAAGTCATGTGCTGCTGCCGCTTGGCTATCCTGGCTATCCTCCTATAATATAATATACCATAGAAAATGAACATTTGTTCACTGAGAGGTGCTGTGTGGAGCTGATACAAAGTTCAGGTTCGCTGGGGCTGGGTAGTGTTCAACACCAGATTTGGGGCTTAGGTTGTTGTGTGTGATGGACATCCCTGGTGACTCTATAATACTCGTGGCAGGCCATTGGGCAAGCCTAGTTCCACATAGTCTTCCAATTATCAATTGCACCATACTCTGAATCATTTAGTTGCAGCACTCCCTAAAACCGGTCGTGGACCTGTGGACCTACCCCGGGCCTATCCTCCATTACCAATAAAGCACATCACATCCAGGAACGTTTGAAGTCTGAGGATTCTGGGTTTCCAATGCGTTCAACACAAAAGGTCCTACCCGCGATAGGCAACGCTGCGCTTCAGGCTCTGGCGAAGGTCTTTCAACGAACCGTCGGGCTGGCCCAGTGCCAGTGCCGGAGCAGATCGGTGTTTCACCTCGCGGTGCCGAGTAGATCAGTGGCTTCGGAGGTTCGATTGGCACGTTTCCCGCAGGATGTCCTGAACTTATGGGGGGTCCATAAGTTATAAAGCACCGACATTGGGGAGATGGTGCCATCTACTCTCAATCCACTATTGATGGAGAGCTGCTGGGGGCGAGAACGTGTGTTTTTGGGTGCTCGCAGGGGGCTTCTCGGGCGTGAGAAACTTTTGACTCCGATCCCAGCGAATCTCGCCAAGAGACGGTCTGGGTGTGCCTCAATGTTTGACACTTCCTTCAAAGCACCAGTGAATAGAGATAATCGAGGCTGAAGGACCAAGTCTGTTTAGTGCTGCACTGAGTCAGGCCATTCTCCAGACATTTCCAGACTCGCTCCTTTCATGCCCTCCTCCACTTCTTGGCGTGAGACTTGACGCCAAGCAAGATCACCTTCTTCTGAGCTTTTTTGAGCTCAGGTGCCTGTCAGGGTTCGTTGCCTGTCAGGTGCACAAGCAGGTTTTCCAGACCCAGTTCCAGACCAAGCCGGATCAAGTGCTGAAGGAGGAGCCAGAGTCCGGACCTCAAAAATTGGTCTCTAAGCCAGGCGCGCGAGCCGCGCGGCGGTTCCGCGCGCGGCGGTTCCCGCTGGTTGGACTTGAAACCGTTCAACCGCACCTGGAGCCTTTGGCTCCTTTGGCTTTGTTTGGCCTACTAATTAGTGCGATTCAAACGTTCATGGCTTTGTCGCACATACGATGGTATGCCGTGCCCTGTTGGGGCTTCTGGATCTATGAAGAGTCTGAGTTGGATCACTTGTAGAAAGGCCAGTCATGCCGACTGAAGGTGAGGATAGGTGAGGTGTGAAGGTGTCGCTATGGAAATTTGAAGCAGTAGTGCCCAGCTGTTCTTCGGGTTTCTCTCCCCGGGGGCCCGCTTCCTACTCGAAAGGACCGGGACACCACCGTAAAACTGGCGGCGTTTTCGGTGGTTTCAGCTGTCCGGACCGGTCAAGCCTTTGCAGCTATGACAGCTCTGACAGCTCTGAGGTCTCGACAAATCTGCGATGAGATCAAGGAGTTCCCGGTCGAAAACGCCAGAAAACGCGACACTGGGAGGTAACAGCAGGTCATGTTGACAAAACGTGGAGGACATTGGAGGACACATGGAGAGGACGTCGAAATCGAACATTTCAATACATATCCCAGGCTTAGTCCCAGACTACGTATGCCATATGCCTACTCTGATTCCCCAAACCATCCGAATGTAGTAGGAAAAGTTTGGGCATATAATGTGTGGAGTGTGTGGGGCACGACTCAAGTGCCACAACGGCTGCGCGCTGCGCGTTGCGCCCTGCGTGGCAGGATTTCACCTGCCAGATTCTGCATGAACAGTGGCTGGCTTAGGGCCGCGGTGACCATATTGAATCAGGTTGTCAGGGCACAGGGCTGCTCACTTCTTGCGAGGGGATATTGAAACCAACTATATATATATATCTAACTACCTTAGGGGACATTGATGGACAACATCCCTTTAACCGTTCTGGTCCACCAACCATCTTTGCTTAATCTTTCGATTCTTGTGCCACAAAGCAGCTTCAGAATGTTCCTGGAGTTACATGAGCCATGACCCCCCCGGCTGCAGGGACGACGCAACATCATGCCAAATCTCTACCATGTTCATCCATGTTCACACTTTTTTTGGGGTGGTATGATAATGTAATTATAATGTACAGTATATTTTTAGGTTTTGCCCTATTACCTGTAACAGTCAGTAAACAAGCAAATCATCATTTTTGTACTATGTAGGCCTGCCATCTAGCCATCATCATCCACTGTTACAGGTAGTAGGATAGACAGACGCGATGATATCATGCTAGCCCATGCACTCCATGGGACTGCCATACATGCCTACATTGACCCCCCCTGGCACCACCCGTGGCCGTTTCTCGGCAGTCCTATGGCAGTCCCATGGAGCCTTTGGGCGACGTAGGGTGTCTAACTCACCAGGTGACCTGGTGCCCTTTCGCGAAAGACTGCACGGACGCGCACGCGAACTCGATCTTCGCCTTCCGCCCGCCGGCCCTCCAGAGCCGGTCTGGACTGGTTTACACTTTCAGCGCTTGAGGCAAGGGCTTCTTCAAGCACTTTGCAAGGGATTTAGGGACCCCTCGTGTCTTCTTTTTCAAGTTGAGTCAGTTAGATTGGCTTGACAAAGGCTCCTGATGCCTCCCCTACAAACATCACCAGAGAGCAGGCCTCGTTTGCTACTTTCGGTTGGCCCAAATGGGACATGTGTGCACTCCACGGGTGAGACACCCGGAGTGGAGACCGTTCTCTCAACGCGCGGACTCGTCTTCTGGGTCGACGGTGGTACCTACAGTGGTTGTACTGAGTAGATGGCGCAATCCACCCAGTTCGGTGATGCAGATGGACCCCCATCTGTCTAAGACATCTTGGGGTGCCAGTGCCATCTACTCCGAAACCACTGTAATCCCTCCAAAGTTGGGTGGCTGAGGTTCTCCCAGATCAGGCGGGAGGGAGTGTCATTCCGCCGCGAGTGAGTCGGCATGAAAATACTTGAGGGAGGCAGAATGAACCAAACATAATCAAACAATATCAAACATAGTTTGACATATATATATATATAAAAGTCTATTTGAGCCTCAACACAGTTGAGCATCGAATGTTCGGGACACGGATGCTCAGCCAATAATGTTTGGGGCTGATGTTGTGGACATGTGTGAGAATCTGGCATGTTCCAGGCAAATCGCTTGATCTCTAATCAGTTGGCTCGAGCTGGCTATGGGCTATGGGACTCTGAAAAACCTGTGCCCCAGACCAGTTACTTAGCAATTCCTGGTCACCAGGCCAGAGAAATGTGAATTGGAATCCCGTCTGTGAACTGGCTGGGCTTGTGACCCCTTTTTGACAATTTAGGTCCAACTGAGGGCTCCAGGTTGATCATCCCCCCGAAGTGTTGGCTCCTTTTCGGGATGACCAATGTTCCAAAAGCACCCGTGAGTCATGACCTTTAGCCATCCACTATAGCGTAGGACCGTAGGATCAATTACAGTGGTTTCAGAGTAGATGGCACAGACCTCAAGATGTCCTATTTTTATGGGGCTTCATTTAAACCACCTCTTGGGGTCTGTGCCATTGGTCCTCTCAATCTACTCTAAGACAGCCAGTACCATGGTGGACTCCTTCCACCCCCTCGTCCAAGCGCACTCGACCGCCAGGGCCGGCGGATGGTCCGAAGAGGTGGGCCCTTCAGCAGAGCCACTTGGGGAGGGAACCCCCACATCCATGGCGCCAAGCACCAGATGGGGAGACATCCATGTAGGACGGTTGATGTCCCAAAATCCCAGGGTGGCGCTATGAATCAACAGTCTTACATTGATCTCCAGTTTGGACCACATCCAGAGGCCAGAGGCCAGATCCATGGCCTGAGGTCACTGTGGGGCAGCCTCGCGTTCACGAATCATACTCTTGGCCCAGATCCCCTTCGAGCTGAGATAGAGCATGAGAGAATACTCGTTCTGGTGGCTCCGGAAAACAACATAACGACGTAACCCTGCTTCAAAGCTTACTTCTTTGGGATTTGTTTTTCATCTTTATATATATGTTATATATATATATATATTCTTTTTTAAAGATCATCTGTATATTTGGGGACGCCTCACACGTCTCCATGACAGAACAGTCAGAAAGTGTATGTTGATGGTGCGCATTTGGGTATGTGCTCCCCAAAACATAGCACGTGGAAGAGGAAGATCATGTGAAAGAAGAACGCCGAGCAGGTGGGTTTGCTATGGCCGCAGTGGACCACAAAAAGGAGGGTCAACCGGTCGTTGTAACAGAAAAGGGCCTCAGAAGCTCCAGCAACATAGGACGCTCCACACCATCCCAGCCAAAGCAGTAGGGCTCGAGCGCCAAGTTTGACTCTGTTTACCCCGAAGCTGTCGTGGTGGATTATGCTCCCCAGGTGGGGTAAAACGTCATTGAATTGGACATGTGTGGGAGATGGAGCGTTTGGGTCTCCACCTGCCCATCAATCGATAGGCATCCCCCTGTCAGATCGGGTCGGCGCGGGTCGCGTGGGGCCCCTCCAACGAGATCACTCGGCCATCGCCTGGTCTAGAGCAAGTCCTCAGCTGTGAAAAACCGAACATCTCAGCACACTCCCCAGGTCTCCAGGACAACACGGACTCCAAGTGAGTGTTCCATCATTTGCTGGTGCCTTTTTGTCCGCTTTATTTGGCCCTCAGCTGTTGAAGATGACGGCCTCCGACGCTTGCCCTGTGCCTGCCGTGCCAGATGCTGTGCACCTTGCCGCTCCGGCAAAGCGGGAGTTGGCCCATGGCACGGCCCATGGCGCACGTGCGCCGAAGGTGCGCGAGGCGCCCAGTCTTTGGAAGAGATCCTGGACTCTTGGCTTTTTGTGGAGTGGACGGAAGATCAGGGGTAATTATTCATCAAGAGTCTACATGGTCAGGAGACTGAGAAGTTCCCAAGTTGATACCATAGTGTGGGACATTTCATATATCCTGGTAATTGTGATCCCGTATGAAGCCTTTTTTGGGGGGGCATTGTTGCGTCATGTCCCTTTCAGACCATGCCTTTTTCATCCTTTTTCCATGTAATGTCACTTGGACAGAAACTGGAGTTTGTTCTCATCTGAGTGAACAGGACTGGGGCCTCGAGGTATACAGGCATGGAACTTGCTGTTCTCCCGCCGTCTCAGGCGATATGTGCACAGGATGTGGTCGAACCGGATTCTGGCACAAGCGATTGGCATTCCCTTGCGGCATGTTCTGGCTCTCTACGGTCTTAGCTTATGCCTGGCCTCCCAGTGGTTCTTGTCATAGGTCTTCACCAAGACAGCTCACAGCTTGAAAGATGGAGCGCCGTCTTAGTGCTCGAGAGGGAAGCTATGGGGGGCCGGAAACGATGACGAGCAGTAGCCAGTAGATTGAACATGTAATTCACGCTGGGAACGACACGAAACAATCTGAAGAAAGCTTGCCATTGAGTTATGGCGAGTTGCTTCTTTGCTTGCTTGTGTCCTTCATGAAACCTCCAGCACTGCTTGCCAACTGTGGTATTTGCCTCAAATTCTGCCTCCCACCTCAGGTTTGAGAGGCCGTGTCAGCTCCAAGACTGGACTGCTGGCTTTACTGCTGTGGCCCATCAGTGGCTTGGGCGTCACGGCCGGGGCGCATCGTTACTGGACGCATCACAGCTACAAAGCCAGCACGATACTGGAGACGCTCGGCCTCCACGCGCACTCGGCCGCCTCCACGCTTCGAGGAGGGCAGGTGGCGAACAGATTTCCGGCCATGGACTCACGGGTGAAGGGGGGGAAACGGAAGAAACAACTGGATTGGCTTTAGCCCTCCCAAACGCCAACTAAACGCTTGGCTCAGGGCTTGTTGCTATCACTCACGCACTCCCTCTCTCTCACACTTTGCTCCGCTGCGCATGCAGTGCCAAGGTTGCCAAGTCCTGGATGCCTCCTTCCTCCAGGGTAGGGCGCGTGGAATATAAGCCACCCCTTTCTACTGGAGTTCCAGTGTGGATTCTTTGTTGGCCACTTCGTGTTGACAAGGTTCAACCAGCCTGAAAGATATGGCTCGAGCTTTGGACAAATCCAACCTTCGACATCCTTGACATTCTTATTTTGATTGAATGATTCCTGACGTTTCGAAGCAACCTGAAACCTTCGACGCTGTTCAGAGTTGTTCAGCACACAGCAGCGCACAGATTCCATCACGCACCTCAAGACCTGCTCGGGGCTGCTAGGACCTTGCTGATGGTGATGTTTTCCATTGCGGACCAGGGGCCGATCGAAGGATGGGCCTTGACCCATGCCATGCACCACGTGGCCAGTGATACCTACTGGGACCCACACAACCGCTCCTTAGGACGCGGACCGCGCTGGTCGGAGACAGTGCTACAGTGGGGTGGGGTGCGTCTCCGTTCGGGTCGTCTCCGTTTGGTGTTTCTGTTTGGATCAGGGTTCCCAGTTCCCACAACCATCCATGGTTATCAAATATATGTTGCAAGAACACCAATGTCTATAATGACATATACTGACCACAACATGTCACATGTTGTGTCAGTGTTTGAAAACCGCTGCGTATGATATGTCATGATATGTCGTGATAATCACGATGTGATATTATGTCATATGATATGACGTCATATGAGGTCAGATGTATGTCATGTATGTTATGTATATGTCTGTCAGATGTTGCGTGATTGTTCTAGTAGTTTGGAATGGTTGGGAGTGCCCCCACCCAACTCCTGAAGTCGGGTCATCCACAAGCTGACGAGTGGAGGTCCGAGGTGGTACATCGACCTGATACGTCTTGTCTAGCGGTCAATCCCCAAACAAAGAATGCAACCTTGCTAAGGAGATTGGAGATGATGTTGCTTTGGCATGTCTAAGACCTGGGGTTGCTCCTTGCATAAGGATTTCAGAAACGCTTCATTTGCTGGCTGGCTGGCTAGGATTCTGGCATGCCCACATCGGCTGGCTTTTTGCCACCAAGAAGTTTCAGTTGTCTTCGGTGGAGTACCGGAAGGTGGTGTCACTTGGCCGTTGGATTCACGGAAGACACCGAAGCCGAACGTCGCTGAAGACGCGGAAGGTGCGCGCCAGTCGGGTGTCCCGAGGTGCGCTCAGTCAGATGTCTGGCCTCCACCCAAGTAGCATTATAGTTAATATCAAACACTTTGGATTCTTGTCTGAACCATGGCAAGCCATGGAGTGCCAAGCCATGTCAAGCCGTTGACATAGGCCTTGCCAGTTTGGAGAGAGGTATAGAATAGACGTTTTCGGGATTCACAACGTCATGTTGGCTTTGAGCCCAGCCCGCTGGCTTTGGAATATATCATGATGTCTACAAACTTCCCAACCACTGACAGGAAAAACGCACAGAAGTGACAGAAGTGACCGAAGCAGATGATTTCATCCTTAGCACCTTGACGGTGCCCCAGATGGTGCCGTGTTCCGCTTCCACCGGGGTTGACTGCACCGACCCCACTCGCCGATACTCGCGAGAAAAGCGCGAGGCGCGGCTTGAGTCCGCTGGTGCACTTCCACGATCGGAACTGCCTCTGGTGGGACCCGTTCCATGCCTTTGTGATGCGACGGGAGGTGCATGGTGCCCGGTGACGGGTCGGCTGTTGGACCCGATGGACGTCCCGACGGACTCGGGACATCTTTCTTCTGCCGGACGACCGGCCGAACGCACAGACTGGGAACCCAACAGACCTCCCTTGTAGGTCTGTTTTTGGCAGGCGACCTTTGCCTTTCTAGATCTCTTTGATTCTTTGATGTAGGACAATCTTAATTATAAACGGTTGACCTGGTTTTGTAGTGCCAAACCCTTAGTAAAACAATTGTTCTGCGGTACCGTCTAGTAAATCGTGATTCGAACCCTAGGGCATCGAGGCTGCCAGAGGTGATCGGATTGCGGGATGTCACAAGTCTGATAGATTCACCACGAAGTTGACGGAACAGGGCGCTAACCCTGTGCCAATGATTGACATTGTTCAGCCATGCAAGGTAAACCCTATATAGCCTATAGCTATCTTCTATAGATCCACTGCATACTCTACACCAAGAGCTTCCCACCCCACCTCGACTCGCACATCATCGTCATCATCATCATCATCATCTTCTTCTTCATCTTCATCATCTGGTTCTTCCTTCGTCTTCTTGTGTAGTTCTCACATGTTCTCACCCCCCCGTCAGATTTTTCCAAACAGTTCCCGTCACCCTCCCAAACAGGGAAAACCAACACCGAAACCCGACCTCATACGGATGAACCGAAAGGATGATGATGATGATGATGATGATGATGATGATGATGATGATGATGA